ATACCAGAACAATGTCACTGTCTTTATTTTTCCGACTACACACAGACAAGACAGAGTGTTGCTGCATTAAATATGAGAAAGTATTAACATTAACCCCGTCAGTATTTTGCAATCCATAAACTTTGCAAACTGAAAACATTCAACAAGGCCTCAGTTTGTTGTGATGCATTTAATCAAACCAAACTAATGTTGTTCTTTGTGTTGTTGTGGTGGGAGGCTGCTGTGTGTGTTTCAGTGAACAAACCCAAGTTAAGCTTCAGCTTCTGCTTGAGCTGTTGTGGCAGGTGGAGCACTACCGGCTAGATATAGCTGGGTTAACCTCCACGCACAGCAAGGGCTGCGGAACCAAACTCCTGGAGAGGGACAGGACTCTCTCCTTTTCTGGAGTTGCTCCCGGTGAGAGGTGCCGGGCAGGTGTGGGGATACTCACAAGCCCCCGGCTGAGCACCACCTTGTTGGAGTTCTCCCCGGAGAGCGAGAGGGTCGCCTCTCTGCCACTGTGTGTTGCAGAGGGGAAAACTCTGACTGTCGTTTGTGCTTATGCACCATAAGCCGGCTGCTGATCCCTGACTAAGCCTTTCACCACAACGCATCAGCTCGTTGAAGTCATCACCAACACAACGCTCATTTGCATCCAACAAACAATCAAGCTTCAGTTTATTGGTGAGGTCCTAGCTCGTGAATTTCCCTTCATTTGAACTCACCCAGTACAGTTATGGCTGAAGGCTGAGATGTTTGATGTCTCAGAGTTTTGCTGTTAGATGCCTGACAGCTGTAGTTTCCACTCTGACTCAATTGAATGTTGGTGAGTGTGAGCTCTGGCCCAGTATCAGTGAGCAGGTTTCCATTCAGAAACCACTTAAACAGGGCATCAGGTCTGGAGACAGCTGAGCAGACCAGGCGGATGTTTGACCCTTCTGCAAAGTATTCTTGTGGTGATGAGAGCATCAAGTTGGTATTTTCTGGGCCAACTGGAGGAAACAACAAAAATAAGTCATGTTAGTAGCTGGAAAAACTAAATTGCATATGACATATGTGAAGTCTGAACCTGTCCAGTATACACGAATACATCACTGTACAACAAGTCACCAGAAAAACAGTGCACAAAAAAAACTGTACAATGTTAAAATATATATATATATATAGTGCTAAGCAGCAATTCATTTGAATGATATAGTTTCTGATGGGGTTGTACTAAATCCAAACATGTTCAGAGAAAAAAAAGAAAAAGGTTTAACATTTTCATTCAGTTCTGTGAATAATCTAAACTATCTCTGATGTTTGCATGCAGATGTCAGACACTGAGCATGTAGATCAATAACTCACAGCTGACAGAGATGGGTACAGGCTCACTGGTGGCATGACTAGCAGGATTGGACGCACGACACCTGAACTGTTGCTGATCAAAGCGAGTCACGTTGACTATCGTCATCACGGATCCTCCATCAGTGAACTGAACTCTGTCACTGGCTGTAACCTCAGAGGTGTCGTTCAGCCAGAGGAAAGAGGTGGGGGATCCAAAGGAGGTGCAGGACAGATTGACAGAATCCTTGAATTCAACCAAGTCTGCACTTTTGGGATCTACTGTTACATTGGAGACTGGCTCTGTGGGTGAAAAACAAAATGGTTTTACACTTTTCATCATTTCACAAACAAGCAGACAAACACCACAATGATCAGAAAGGAATTCCATTTCAAAAAGTTCAATATTAGAATTTGCTTCTACTGAGTCTAAAAAGGTTTCATGACAATGATCCATAGAACAAATAAAATAAGAGCAATTAAAATCCTGAAACTAGCCTTTGTACAACACTGGTCATAACTAACTAACTTTAATTACTGCAGTGCTGTCATGTGTCTACTCTCCAGTTGTCACTTGAAGTGACTCAACAGAGTTTGTGTATAAAAAAATCTAAAGTTACTTCCAGTTGTTCTTCACACCATGTTTGAGAGGCAATAATTTAACTATATTAGATTCTCAGTCTCTTCTCTGTGGTGGTGTCGACTCTAACTGGAGAGCTAACGTAGTTTAATACCACTACAGAATGTTTGGTGAAGGAGTTTTTAAACAGCTTTCTCATACAATCTGACAATCAGTAAAATGGAATAAATCTGTAAGAGCAGGATTTGTTCAAAGACTGTTGCATTATTACAGGTGCAGCTAATAACAGCAATAACATGGCAGATCTATTACATGCAGCCAAATGAAACCATTTATATTTCAGACATGATGTAGAATTTGTAAGACATTTTATTCCTGAGACTGGAAAACAGCACTCATAATTTCTATGGTATAATTTTACAGAGGACAACATATAAAGTCCCAAATAAACTTCAATAAAATATGTCTAAGTATTATATCATAATAGTATTATGTAACTATTGTTTGTTTGTTGATTTTTTTTTCTTCAAATGGAGGTTTTATAATTTTGAAAAGGAAAAATGAATTCTTTGCATCTGAAAATCAACACTTACTCACCATATACATTCAGTGTGGTTTGCCCAACCAAAGTGGCTTCACCAGCTGGTATAATGTTAACACTGTACTCTCCACTGTCAGCTGTAGTCAGGCTCCTGAGCTCCAGAGATCCAGTAGACGGGAACAGGGTGATCCTGTCTTTATATTCTGGTGGACTTGAGTTTGAGGCAGCATGTGAGGAAATTATATTATTTATCACTTCAAAACTCCAGACCACAGATACAAACGGTGTTTGTGTTGGACTCAGTGATGTAGTGAACATAAATGTTCCGTCAACAGCTGCATTCAGAGGACCATCCGGCAGCACACCAAAGCCTTCAGTTAAACCTGGAGGACACAGTTTTGGACATGATTTCTTGGTGACAAAACAGCACCAGTTAGTTCTTCTAAAAAATCTGTTGTAAGTTTCAACTTTTCTATAACTGACTAGTGCAAATGTCTCTTGTCTGCAAGAAGAAGAAACAACGGAGTAGAATTGAAGTAGTGGTTAAAGTCATTTGATCAGGCTGTCAAAGGCTCAAACATACTCTGCACTCATGATCCTTTCACTTCTCTTCTAAATAATTAAGTTGCAGCTGTGTGGTCAGTTCTTTAATTCAGTTTTGAATGTCTTTGCTATGAAGCATGTACCTACAGTACGATGTGCTCATTTATTCTCTGTACATTCTCTTTATATTACAGGCTTCACCACAATCCTGAGACACGTTATCTGAGCACAGAAAATCATTCAGAATTTCATCCAAATATTTTACAGNTGTCATCCAGGACCAGATCTGAGCCGTCCTTCTTCCATGTCCTGGTGAAGATGGAGCCACAGGCCTCACAGGTTAAGTTGACAGACGTCCCCTCGACCGTCAGATTTATTGATGGTTTGACAGAAGAATCCAATATTTTCTCTGTTAGGCACAAAATAGATGATGAAAAATATGACAATCACAACAAAAGTAACTGCAGAACTGAAGGCTAAATAAGTGATAAAATCTAAATAAATGAATAACATAGAAAGAAAAGTTGAGAATAGTGTGTAGGTAAACATGGCACTGACATATAATCATAGTTTATGCTGGTCGACTTGTTAGCAAAAAGTACCGATTTAGGCTCCACATCCAGTACAAACTGTTCTGAGCAACATTTCCAACATACACTGTCATTTTTGCTCTGTTTTGGTCTCCACCAACTTTGGCGATCAACAACATTTAGTCTCTCATAGTTCCCCTGTGTTCATTAATTAACATTTGGAGCTGGACAGGTAGAGCACAGTTGGTTGGGAGCTGACAGCTGTCTACTGTGACCAAAGTTACAAATTTAGTTGGGGTGTGCATGTCTACCTTGAGAGACGATCCGATACGAATCTAGATACATGGGTTACGATACGATTCACTAACGATACATTTTAATACAGTACAATGTGATGCAGCTTGAATCTATTTGTGTGGTGAAAAAAATGACTGAGAAATATACCAGAACAATGTCACTGTCTTTATTTTTCCGACTACGCACAGACAAGACAGAGTGTTGCTGTATTAAACATGAGAAAGTATTAACATCAACCCGTCAGTATTTTGCAATCCATAAACTTTGCAAATTGAAAACATTCAACAAGGCCTCAGTTTGTTGTGATGCATTGAATCAAACCAAACTAATGTTGTGCTTTGTGTTGTTGTGGTGGGAGGCTGCTGTGTGTGTTTCAGTGAACAAACCCAAGTTAAGCTTCAGCTTCTGCTTGAGCTGTTGTGGCAAGTGGAGCACTACCGGCTAGATATAGCTGGGTTAACCTCCACGCACAGCAAGGGCTGCTGAACCAAACTCCTGGAGAGGGACTGGACTCTCTCCTTTTCTGGAGTTGCCCCCGGTGAGAGGTGCTGGGCAGGTGTGGGGATACTCACAAGCCCCCGACTGAGCACCACCTTGTTGGAGTTCTCCCCGGAGAGTGAGAGGGTCACCTCTCTGCCACTGTGTGTTGCAGAGTGTAAAACTGTCGTTTGTGCTTATGCACCAAACGGCAGTTCAGACTATCTGGCCTTCTTGGAGTCTCTGGGTTTTGTCCTGGAAGGGGACTCCATATTTCTCCTAGGGGCCTTCAATGCTCATGTGGGCAATGACTTTGAAACATGGAGGGGCGTGATTGGGAGGAACAGCCTGCCCGATCTGAACCCAAGTGGTGTTCTGTTATTGGACTTCTGTGCTAGCCATGGATTGGCCATAACAAACACCATGTTCAAACATAAGGTTGCTCATAAGTGTACCTGGTACCAGAGTACTTTAGGCCAAAGGTCGACGATCAACTTTGTAGTTGTATCATCAGACCTGCAGCCGTATGTTTTGGACACTCAGGTGAAGAGAGGAGCAGAGCTGCCAACTGATCCCCACCTGGTGGTGAGTTGGATCTGATGGCGGGGAAGACTGCTGGACAGACCTGGTAAACCCACACACATAGTGAGGGTGAACTAGGAACTTCTGGCAGAGGCCCCTGTCCATGGGGTTTCTCCTGCATCCCAGGGGAGGTTGGGGGCATGGAGTCAGAGTGGGCCATGTTCAAAGCCTCCATTGCAGAAGCAGCTGTTAGGAGCTGTGGCCAGAAGGTCACTGGTGCCTGTTGTGGCAGCAATCCCAAAACCCACTGGTGAACACCGACGGTGAGGCTGAAGAAGGAGACCTTTCAGGCCTGGTTGGTTCGGGGGTCTCCTGAAGCAGCAGACAGGTACTGGCTGGCCAAAAGGGCTGCAGCTGCTGCGGTCGTGGAAGCTAAAACTCGGGTGTGGGAGGAGTTCAGGGAGGCTATGGACAAGGACTTTGGGTCGGCCTCAAAGAAGTTCTGGCAAACCATCCGATGCCTCAGAGAAGGGAGGCAGGAATTCGCCCAGGCTGTGTACAGCTGGGGAGGAGAACTGCTGACCCAGTGATGCACAAGTGATGCATCTATAACATCTTTCAATTCTAACCTCTTCTGTGCAGAGACAGCTGAGGGCTATGATCATTAATATCTGAGTTCTGTTTTCAGTGTATTTGAAACAGCAAAATAAGTCAAGTTAATTTAAAGTTAATAGAGATCAAATCTTTAGCTGAGGTTCAGGAGCAGGAACACACCTAAACCACACCACTTCCTGTCATACCTCTGTTCATACCACTCTGCTCTTCCCACTGGTTCGTTCTCACTTCTGGTGCTCCACCCACCCTCCT